AGCCAGTCCCTGCCCAGCCTGTATCATAATGTTTAAACTGATGCAAGACAGACCAGTAACTAAGTAATAGTCTACTGTATACACACCAGGAGGCAAACAGACTGCAGTAACACTGTGGCAGCATTCAGAACTGGCATTTATGTATTTATAATGGTACAGAAAGCACCACTCTGAATTTAAACTGCATGTATAGTTTTGCAGGTCTCTCACCAAGAGTGTCTATGTAGTACTTTAGCACAGGCGGCAAATGAGCACAGGAAGAACGACAAGCACTATAACCCTAGGAAGCAACTTTGGAAGAAAGCTTAAAATGCATCCATGAGAGAAGGAAAACTAGTTCCTTGCTGTGGAAAGTGTTTGATAATCCAGTGAACTATGAAGGAGCAAAGGCTGACTCGACAGGACACACACGACTGGCAATGGCAACCTATCTAAAGGGGAGAACAGAAGAGGCAAAGAAATTTTATGACAACCCAGAATGTTTAAGACATAATATGGAGACTAATCCTGTGCTTGTGAGAAGGGAAATGGGATCTAAAACAGTGATATATTTTGATTCTGAAATTCACAGACACTACCCTTATGTGTTTTGTTAAGGCTTTTTTTATTTGTTTGTTTGTTTGTTTTTTTAAATAGACTATAAATTTGCATAGTCTTGCTCATTACAGTATGCAAGCGTACCTCAGTGTGTGTCTATTTGGAATGCTTTGAAAAAGAGAAAAAAAGAGAAAAGCACCCTCAAAAATGCCATTTTCATTGCAGAAGGGAGGACAGCCACCTGGACAATCAAATCCCTGTTGCAATATTTGGCTAACAGGACCCACTGAGTCCCAGAAGCTGCTAATAAGGTAGCAGGAACGTGAATGCCAGACACCTTGAACATCAGATGTACTGCAAACCACCCAAAGCAAGCAGTGCCAATGAACTAAACCAAAATCCCTTTTTGGGGAATCTTCCAGCCTATAATGCTGCATTCTGGTCTGCTGGGCTCAGGGTTACGCTCTAGACTCTGCCCACTGCAGTGCACTTGTCAAGGCACAGACCATTTTGTCCAGCATAACCTCCTAAGGGGGGCATACTGGTTTGGAACTGACACTTGAGTTTCCCCTATAGCTTACACACCCCTCCTCTCAAGACCTCCTCAAGTGACCTAGGGTACTTGGCAAAAACAACAAGTAGCCAAGCCTCTGAAATAGCAGGGGATGGCACCTGGAAAAGGACCTTAGGGATCTAAACAGAGCCTTACTAGCAAGCCAGAAGTGCTACCCTGAACCTCAGAAACCTAACAGAAAAAGTTTTCAGCAAGCGTACATGTATCTGTAGAAGAAGTTCGGGTTTGTTGTTTTTTGTATTTGTTGGTCTGGGGTTTTTTTTGTGTGATTTTTCTTTTTTTTTTTCCCCCCGTGCATCTGCATTTCTCTAATTTGATTTCACCCCAGAATTCTTAAACAAAACCAAATGATTTCTTAAAAAATAATTTTAAATTATCAGTTATTTCACCTTCTCTGTAACTAGTTGTATGACCTGCCTCAACAGCTGCATGAAGTTTTGAGATTACATCAGCTAATATTCTGTACAGATAGGTTACATGAACACATGTTTGTTGCACAAATGCATCTAAGGACATTTTAAAATGCAGAAACAAACACAGCATACTATCCTCTCTAAAGTAATGAACAGGGGTACTTTTAAGGCAGAAATTCAGAAAGACTTAACTATTTTGTTGCACAAGCTAATGTTCTATACTTACTAATATGCAAGCAGACAAAAAGTGCAACAGGCATCATTTCCATACCTAATTAAATTTTTTGCCTCTCCATGTCCATATCCCAACCCTTTACTTCTAGTCTGAGAATGCACCCCATTCAAAAATTCAAACAATTTTGAAAAGTACATGCTATCATATCCTTTTATGAGTAAAGGAGAGAATACTACTAGAAAAATGAGCGCATTCTACTTTGGATCCATCCAGTCACACTTACCTCCCACATTAATGGTACTTTGAAGAACAGCCAAATTGACTTACTGAAGGCAGAGACATGCCCATCAGTCAGGCTGCCTTTCTCCCAAGAACCAGGAATCCCATTAACGTCTGCTTCTAAAGAAGGGCTGCGTGACAGCCCACTAATGAAACAATGAGGCATAAAGAATCCAGGCAAGTGTAAAGACAGAAGATGCAGGGAAATTAAAATCAGTCTGCCCTGGATTTACAGGTAGGTATTTATGCTCTCCAGTTTTTACGTACATGTATCAAAACTAGGGCAAACAAATACAGAAAGAAGTAACTGGACTCTCTTTAGCAACTGAAGAAAAATTATACTAAGATTTAGATTGGAAGGATACAAGGATTTTAAGTGTATTTGGGAGCAAGGTCTGGCTACTTTATGACAGTCTGTAAGGGAGGCAAAAATACCAGCAGGACAGTTCTGGAAAGATTCTTCTGCCTCCGTTTCCTTCTCACAGAAGCAAAAATTTAGGAGCACAGAAGAGGCTCGCAATATACATATGTCCTCTCTAATATGGCCCTGTCTATAGAAATGTGCTATTATACAAAATTTCAGAGCCTTCCATAGGCAGAGACAGGCAGGCTGCTTTAGCAAGTGATAAGCAGTATCAATTGCCTTTTACAATCAGCTTCTCATCATTGCTACCTGCCTGCAAGTGATCTCACTCTCCAGGGAGGAGATGTGGGATTCAAACTTTCTCAGAGGGAGGGACACTGACAGCCTGAGTGCTGTGCAAATGCAAATAAATGGCTGAGGCAAGGTATGGTCTGTACCTACTTATCAGCCAGAAAGAACAAGGGAAAAAAAAAAAAAGGTTAGTTTGTGGCTTTTAGGTGACCCTAGTGTTAAACAAATGTGGAGCTAATCCGTACTTCAGCATCTACTGGAATTTCTCAGCAGAAACTAACACACTCTAAGACTAGGGAAGCTACAGGGTTAAGGGAAGATTTTGTAAATACTACCAATATCTACCTTATGAACTTCAACACACAAACATGTGGAAACCCACACAACTTCAATTTGCTTAATTTAATGTCTACTCTGCATTTTATTCATATATACACTGCCAATATTCACATTTTTCTGTTGGCTCCATCAATAATGTGAGCCTACCCAGAACAACTCCATTTATTTGCAGAACAGTAACCTAAAGCCACCTGTTTGACAGCTCACCTACCAACCTTTTCAGCATGAAAATGCATACATGCAGCTATTCCCTTCTGCTGCATGCCCACTGACTCCTTGCTAAGGAGGGAACACATTAGTAACAATCCTACAGAATTGCTCTCCTAGAAGTGCTGGGAACAAAGACTATATGAAACAGAGACAGAATGCATCCTATCATGAGAATGGAGTAGAAGGAGATGGTGCTGAGCCAGTGCAACGTCAGCACTGTCACTGCTTGGCTAGGGGCTGCAGAAGAGCAGCCGTGGCACCTGGCAGGCTGGATGTGTTACTCCAGTTTTCAGACTCACTCTTGATGTGGTGCTCCTGTCTTCGTCAGCAGAGTCAGGACAAAAAACATGAAGATGACAAAAACTGCAAGGCCAACCCAAAATCCAATCACAATGGAATCTGGCGAAATAGAGAAAACAAGATGATCAGTACTTCACCTGCACTTGAAGTTTTCTTCCACATGCAGCATCACTGCAAATCTCAGAAGACTTTGCAGCTTATCCCTGGATGGCAAAGAGGAAGGATGAGTAGATATATCATTCCTGGTTTTTAAACAGAAAGCTGCCATTGAATTTCTCGTTTGTAGCCCAAATTTTACAATATCTGGACAAACCAGAAACAAGCTGAAAGAGACAACACTGAATTCTCTTAGTTGGTAAAATAAAAGCAGCTCCCTTTGTGATGCCTGGCCCACTTCCAAGCATTGCTTTGGAAAAAACTTCAGTGCTAGAACTCAGAAGAGACGATTATTTGATTTTTAGCAAAAACCTCTGCCCCTGTGGAACTGAACTTCTGCTCTTTTAAATGATTTCTGGCTCAGACCATTAGGTTTCTGGGTTTTGATAGGTTTCTTTGATACGTGCTGAAGAAGATCTAGCTTTCTTTCAGTAGTAAAAGAGAGTTTTGAAATAAACAAGACCACAGATAAAATTATTTGCTACCTCAACAAATATCAATAACCAACATATACAAGACATATTTGATTAATTTTTAATTTAGGTTTCCAACTTGTATACATAAAACTGCAATACAACATCAGAGAAGCCAAATGGATTTGGACAAAACCAGTGAAATCACCAGTTAATTAAAGAAAAACACCATGCAACACCCAAATATAGAAGCAATTGGGAAAGGCATGAATTTTTGCCTGTGTTCATAAAAGGTACCTACTGTATCCATTTATAGCAAATGAACCCACAGATAAATCACTAGTCCTTCTTAATTCTGTGTCCCCTTACGACTTCAAAGTTGGTCCACAGTTGCTCCTGGAGAATGCTCAAAGCTTCCAGGAACTTGATTAAGAGAGGTCCCAGCAGCCCGAACAATTTTCCAAGCAGCAATCAGTTGATAACCATGGCCCAGTTCTACAGAGCACTAACCCAAAACAGTGCCCTGGTCCACAACTCACAGTATACAGCTACTTTTTTGCCTGTCATTTCAGTTAGGTTCTTTCTGTTTGTGCAAATAGTCAAAACTTCCACAGCAAAAGTTAAAAAAGAAAAACCACACCACACACAGACACAAACATGCAAGAGGGAAGTCCTGGTCAGGACAGGTATCCCAATCCCATCCAACATCCTTGCTGGCTGTAAAGCTGCGTGATGATCTGACTGACACAGTGCAGCAGGCACAGCATGGAACTTTAGCCAGCCTGTTCAGTCTCCTGCAGAACTAACTAAAGACACCAGAACAACATAGAATCAGCTACTATGCCTGGTGCTTTGACCCCAATGGTTAATGTCCTGGTTCCGTGTAAAAAGGGGTTCAGGGCAGGACCCACATGGAACAGAACTATGTACTCGCCTCTCCCCCCCCAGAGAGAGAGAGAGACACTTTGGAAAAAAAAAAAAAATGAAGTATATTGTTTAACAAGGAACAGAAAAAGAAAAAGGGAGGTAAGAAAAATAATATATACAAAGATTTGGGGAAAAGTACAAAAAATAAAATATACAAAACACTCAGAAATGGTTCCAGGGTCCCACGGAGTGAAAGGACAACTTCCCTCTCCGAGCTCCAAGGCAGGAGTGAAACTAGAAACCACTCCCTGCCTCTTATCAGAGTGTGTGTGGGAAGGGGAGGGAATACAATGGTTCACCCCCACCCGGGGTCCTCCCAGTTGCTGGAAAGGTCACGCCCCCATTCCAAGCCTCAAACCACAACAGTTAATCACATTCCTACTGTGAAATATCTTCCATGCTAAAAGGCAGATCTGGAAATTGGAAATCAAACCATTTGCTTTTTCTCTGCAAAGTCAAAGTGCTTGCTGCAACTTGAGATTTTCTCCCTGTGAAAATACTTTCATCACAATCCAGGCACTCATTAATCCCTTCTGGTAAACTAAGGTTAGGTTTCAAGTCTCCCACTGCAGCAATGTTTATTCCATCTTTCCTCTCCCAAATCTCCCCCTCTCAGCACTCTTGGTGAAGTGGTGGTTTGAGTATCCGTCTCCATGAAGCAGGAGGAGGGTGGGAGTTTGTAATAATATTCCTTTTTGCTTAAAGCATACTGGTATGAGTTGAGTTCTGTAATTCCAGGCATTATGAGTTCTGAATAATTCTCTAAGTACAGCCTGTATTCAGTGATTCAAGATTCATCCTGTATTTGGTCTTACTAATACACAACGGCTCATGATCATCTACCATCCTATCTGGCTTTGTAGTATCTGAAAATTTCACCTAAAAAGAAATACTGCCATTTAAAAAAACTACCACTTAGCCATATACAGCTACTAGTAACTATTAGACGTGTTTCAGCGATATGCCACTGCATTGATAACTACAATGTAAAGCCTGATCAAATAAGATGTTCAAAAAATATGCACACAAATTATTGATCAAGCTGCAAAAACTTAACTCGCGTAACACTAAGGAAAAGAAACCTAAAGGAAAAATAATTTTTTTAAAATTCAAAGATTCTGATAAACAACTACTCCCCACAAAAAATCATACCTGCCAGCATTGTGTGCTGAATAACCAGCCTGTCCTGTGGTTTGCTGGTGTTCTCCCCCCTCAAGAGAATTTCTAAGTTTACTGAGCCTAAGGCTGCATCTTCCTTGCTTTACTGCAACTCCTGTAGCACTTCCAAACCTCTGTTGTATCAATACATTCTCTGGATTTGCTTAAAATTAAAGCAGGTGGTACAAGTTCTCTTCAGTATGTCATTTAAAACACAACATTAATTCAAAAACACAGTATGCAGGACTACATTTGTAACACTGTCCCAGTGTCTCCTGAGTTTCTCAAGCTGCAGTATCAGCCTTCCTGTCCTTCCTAACAGCCTGGCAGCAGTTCCAGCTCCCCTGACCATTCCTACTGATTTTACCTCTCTAAAGTTACTGAGGTTTCCTCTGTTCCAAAGGCACAAAAAAAAAAAAAAAACACAAAAAATTGTTCTTTCCTCTACCAGTCACACCTCTCCTGACTACCTTTGTCCACTTCCTAAAGCTTTAATTTACAAAATGTCTGGTGCCTGCTTTTCTGGATTTTGATTTTTTCTTGTTGCTTGTTTTTCCTCACACAATCACCTCCAGCCTAACCAAAAAAAAAAAAATAAAAAAAAGATAAGATCTAGACAATGGCTTTGGCTTTTAGATAAATGTTGGTCCAGCTGTATTAGTTTGTCCTTCCTAAATTTCTTCTCAATTCCTACCTATATTTTCAACTTTTCTGGTCCCTGTCCTCCACTTGTTACTTCCACTGTAAAACAGCTCCAGTATTAGCAGAACACAATGTAGTGCACACCTTAGAGGAAGAATCACAGAATCACTATATTTTGAAAAGACCTCCAAGATCATCAAGTTCAACTGTCAACCCAACACTACCACAACCACTAAATCATGTCCCCAAGTGCCACATCTACACGTTTTCTGAACACCTCCAGGGATGGTGACCCCACCACCTCCCTAGGCAGCCTGTTCCAATGTCTTACCACTCTGTCAGGAAAGAAGGTCTTCCTAATATCAGATATAAACCTCCCCTGGCGCAACTTAAGCCATTTTCCTCTTGGCCTATCACCTTGCTACTTTGAAGGAGAGACCAACACCCACCTCGCAACCTCCTTTCAGGTCTCCCCTCAGGCTCCTCTTCTCCAGACTAAACAATGCCAGTTGTCTCAGCTGCTCCTCATAAGACATGTTCCCCAGACCTTTGAACTGCTTCGTTGCCCTACTCTGGACCTGCTCCACCACCTCAGCATCTTTCTTATACTGTGGCACCCAAAACTGAACCCAGTACTCAAGCTGTGACCTCACCAGTGCCAAGTCCAGGGGCACAAACACCTCTCTACTCCTTAGGGGGATACTGTTTTTGATACAGGCCAGGATGCTGCTGGTCTTCTCGTCCACCTGAGCACACTGCTGGCTCCTGTTCAGCCGGCTGTCAACCAGCATCCCCAAGTCCTTTTCCACCAGGCAGTTTCCAGCCACTCCTCCCCAAGCCTGTAGCGTTGCCTGGGGTTGTTGTGACCAAGGTGCAGTACCTGGCACTTGGCCTTGTTAAACCTCATATAACTGACCTTGTCCTACCAATTCAGCCTGTCCAGATCCCTCTGCAGAGCCTCCCAACTCTCAAACAGACCAACACTCCTGCTCAATTTGGTGTCATCTGCAAACTTACTAAGGGTGCATTCACTCCCCTCATCCAGATCATCAATAAAAATATTAAACAAGACTGGTCCCAAAACTGAGCCCTGGGGAACACCGCTCGTGACTGGCCACCAACTGGATTTAACTCCGTTCACCACAACTCTCTGGGCTCGGCCATCCAGCCAGTTTTTAACCCAGCAAAGAGTCCACCTGTCTAGGCCATGAGCCGCCAGCTTCTCTAGCAGGATGCCATGGGAGATGGTGTCAAAGGCCTTACTGAGGTCCTGGCAGACAACACCCACAGCCTTCCCCTCATCCACTAGGGGGGTCACCCGGTCATAGGAGACCAGGCTGGTCAAGCAGGACCTGCCTTTTATGAACCCATGTTGGCTGGGCCTGATCCCTGGGCTGTAAGAAAGTCCCAATAATAAAAGTTTCTTCAGAAGGAGGAATCTATTCTAAATCTCTTAAAAGCCTTAGTTTCTTTTCTGTGAAGAAAAACAAAAGCAGTAAGTCTGCCCACCACTGCCTTTTTAGCATTAACAGGAAGAAGAACAAAGATACATGGATCATAATAAGTAATCAACAGAAGCAGTAGTTGCTGTATTTGCTGCTATAAACTTCTCCTAATAGCCTGATATTCCTCAGTATTGACAGATTTCTACCACAGCCAAGAAATCCATGGTCCTCTTATGCACAAGAAAAACAGTCAATAAAGACACAGAATAATAAACAATCGTAATAATCTAATAAATAGAGCAATACTCTAATTGCTGAGAATTCAAGAACATTTTAAGAGAGAGATTTTTGTACAATAATCAGTTACAAATAAAGAGCAGGAACATTCAGGTAGGGAAGCTTCAGCTGCAGTAAAGCATGTCTCTACTGAACTTACATTTATGAGCCTTCAGGCCTTCAAACGACACGGGTCCGTACTCATAGTACTCGTACTCCCAGGTGTAATCAGAGTTAGACGAGGCCTGCTGGGAGGTTCTGTTAGAAATCAGCCTCAGGGCAGACATCTTGCACCTCAATAAATATGCACCTGTGGATACACAACGTGTTAACAGAGACTACATACTTCTAGTGCATTGTGGATTTTATAGAGGACCCTTTATTGAGAGGGTCTCTTCCTCACCGCTGTTCCCAAGAGCAGCCACTCAGGGTTGCAAGAGCTGTCTCTCACCTGTTGCTTTAAAATCCAGTATTCCTGCCTCATCAGACAAGGCCATCAAATCCCCTCCCACTCCTTCCCCAGTCTTGGCTGGCCAACCACCAGTCAACACAGAGCTCCTCTTCAACAGAAAGCCTATGTTCATCTCCACAGGGACGTCTCTAAGTGCACAAAGTATCGAAACCAGGTTTCTTAGGTTGAGTAAAACTTTCGTAGTTCAAAAATAGTAAATATCAAATACCACCAGTCTCAGCATTTTAGGATGAATGCGGTCATGAAAATCCACGTGGAGAGCTGGCCAGACTACCAGACTCAAAGGGTTATACTATCCACACAAAGCCCAGCTGGCAGATGGTTATCAGTGATACCCTCCAGGACTGGGACTATAGGGTGAAACAGAGTGCACTTGCAGCAAGTTCACAGACCATGTGGAGGACAGTCAGGAGGCTGGAGGCAGACTGCTACTCCGAGGGACTGGCACAAACTGGACAATGGGAGTGACAGGAACCTTGTGTGGATCACCAATGCAAATGCAACGTCTTGCATCTGGGAGAAAACAACCCCATGCAGTAGAGGCTGGGCATTGACTGCTGGGGAGCAGCTCTACAAAGAAGGACCTGCAATGGAAAACAAGCTGAGCACCAGTCAGCAATATGCCTTGTGGCAAAGATGGGCAAGTGTATAATGGGCTGAAATAACAAGAATCCAGCCAGTAGATCAGGAGAAGTGTATATTCTTCTCAACTCACCACTGGTAAGACTGTGTCTGGAGCACTGTATCCAGTTTTGATATGCCAAATAATAGAAAGACAAGAACACGTTGGGGCGAGTCCAGTGGAAGGCCACCAAGACGGTCAGGGAGCTGAAGCACAGCTCCCTGTGAGAGGTTTGTTTTGTTCAGCCTGGAGAAGAGAAGGCTCTGGGGTGACCTTACAGTTACTGTAAGGTTACAGTAGTGCTGTCTACAGTTACAGAGGGTGCAGAGATGACAGAGGCAGCCTCTTCTCAGAGGTGCAGAGTAAGAGGACAGAAGGCAACAGACACAAATTGGGCAACAGAAAATTTAAATTAGATACAAGGAAAAATTCACCTGGCCTAGCTGAACATGCTTTGAGCAGGAGTTTGGACTAGATAATCACCAGAGGTCCCTTCCAACCTAAATTTCTCTGTGGTAATAAAGAGCTTCAATGAGCCACTACAGAAGGAAAGTAAACCAGGATTGATTTTCCCCATAGATCAACAAAAACTGCAAAAATTGTCTTGACAGATATTCTTGTCATTCCAACAACAGCACACTAGGGATTTGCATTTTGCAGAGTAATTTTTTCAGAATATTAGACAGTTTTATGCACAACAAAAGAGAGCACATGTCTGCATAAAACACCTGCTGCAGCAGCTGGAGTCAGGACATCTAGCTTGAAACATCTAATGAAACACTTTTTGCAAAAGCAAATTGAGCTTTGGGTAATTTTGCATTCAATTAAAACCCAGCAGAGACAAGACTTCATGCAGTTTATTAAAATATGGCAATCAGTTGTTCTGTGGACAACGAAACGTCTCAGAGCACAAAGTCAAATCCAGATAATTTTTTTTTTAAAAGAACAGCTCTTCATAGCTATGACACAGCTGAAACTTCAGTCCTTCCTAAGGATAATTAGATAGACTAAGGCTGTGCAAATGAAGCACATCAGTCAAGTGGCAGGAGGGCCACACAAAGAACAAGAATCAGGCACAAAATGAGGAACACAAATTCATCCAGGGAATATGAACAGCATTTCAAATTTGTAATAAGAGTTCTCTCTGCAACTATTTTACTGTAAGTACATGCTGGCAGGAATGCCTCAAACATTATTTAAAAAAATAGTGAAGTATGGGTGAAAAAGTAAACCTGTTCCATACCCAGTCACAATGCTCAGAACCTTAAACACATTCCAAAACCTGCCTGGCAAGTGGTAAGTCCTTTAAAACAAGAAATGGTTGTATTTTCCAACACAAACTAGCTTAGTTTTCACAATGAGCAACATACCAATAGGAAAAGGGGGAGATGGGGAGGAGAAGTGACCAACTCATTCGTGGGTCGGGATAAAGAGCTTTCCATTATCCTCATCCTCCTTTAGCCACTCTGAACACTCCCAGAGAGAATAAATAGCTTCAAGCACAGAGGAGGAAGAAAAAAAAGATGGCTGTAATGGACAACCCAGTTCATGGCTGAGGATGTTTCTCATGCTCTACTTCCAACCCTTTAAGAACAGGGCAGAAAGAATTAAGTCTATCTTTAAATGCCTGTATTGACAGTAAAGTTCCTCCTCCTTTGCTTTCCCAGTGACTAGAAAACCTTCTTCCTGGAATCAAAGAATGTCTAATTAAAACTTCAGGCAGAGTTTTTCTTGGTTTTAATTAACTAAAGTAACTGCTGCCTCTGGGAGAAACAGAGGGCACAGAGAAAAACCTAAGATTCCTGTCCTAGTTTGCTCCCATCTCAGCTCTGTCAGCCGTCTTACAAGATTTTGTGATTCATTTTGTGACTGGGCCCTCAGAGACTACATGATACTGGACAAGGTTCCCACCACCTTTTTTCTCCTTCTCAGTGTTTCATTGATGACACATCTCTTGACAAATTTTATTAGCACGTTCCTGCTTAAGGGTTGCTTTTCTCTTTTATAATCTTCCAGGAGTCTTTCATTTAAGCATTTGTCATACAGCCATCACTAGTGCTCACTGTCACCTCCTTACTTTGACTGTTAGAGAAAGCACTGAACAGGAACCTACAGGCAGAAAACTTCTAAACAGGATGGTCTATGAACATCCAGAAAATGTTTCTTCTTCCACCTTAAGTGCAGTCAGATGGGATTAACAAGGCCATATGCAGATTTCACTGCCAATCTAGTCACTAGTGTCCATTTACAATTTATGGAGAGAATGGCAACTTCTAGGACACAAAGAAACTGTCCCAGTTTCATCTTAGGTAAGGACTGGAAGTTCCAATATTTCACCACTCACTAAAAGCATTTCTAGACTTAATTCCACTGTAGACAAGCCACTAGGAGAGGAAGAGGTGCTAGCTGAAACCTGAGTCACCAGCAGCCAGACTAACCTGTGTCTCAGGCTTTATAGGACATATCAAGTATGTCTCCAAATCACCCAGTACAGCTAAGCATGAGCATTGTCCTGAACTAGCTTACAGATCATCTGTCTGTCCATATGCCTCCAAAACCTCAGCCTGAAGCACATTAAAACAAAGCTTTTATTCTGCTTAAGATCAGCCTAGCACGGTGAAACAAGGACCAGCACAGTGGAAGTAGTGAACATTAAGACCTTGCAGCTCCTGAGGAAGAACAAAGCAGGGTGAGCTGGCATGGCATTTGCCAGGCTGCAGCAGGTCATGGACACGCTGCAGGTGACAGGTAAGGGCTCCAGGGAAGGAATTCCCCCAAGAGATGCTCTCAAGCACTCTTTCTGCCAGGAATGAAGAGCAGTGATTCATCCCACAACACTGAACCACGACAGGGAGCTCCTTTTTAACTCCTATGCACCCCAGAAAACCCCTCAGCACTGTCAGTTAAGACAAACATGAAAGCCCCTCTGTTGACTTTGATGTGTATGGATGCAGGCAGCCTTTCCTCACTTCAGTGCATTTCTTTCAGGAGCAAGTAAGTGAACAACAAGAAGCTTTGCTTTCATCGCTCAAGGAGAGCTGTGTTCCATGTTGCCAACCAGGAGGTTCAGGCAGGTCAGTCTGTGTGAAAGTTTGGTAAGGTCATAGCTTGCCTGTCAGTGGTACCTCAGCAAACCAGTTTGACTGTTGGACTGCAATGGCACAAAATCCACCTAACTGAACTTCAGCAGCAGGGTATCAGAAGCTGCTGCAGTTGCACTATTTGCTCCAGCCTGGACACCACTGACACATTGCACAGAGCTCACAGTGACTTACCTTTCAAAATGAGTCACTATAAAGGCAAAACTGGACACGCACGGTATCTGAAGCACAGCTTCATGGCTTACACCATCACTGGGGCCACAAAGGCAAATCTGGGTTTGCATACATCTGAAAATGGCCTTGTATGTGACCAGCCACAACAGCCTCTGAACATGACCTGCCTGCACAAGAACAAATCCACATGGACCAGTCAACATACTGTTCACTTATAGAGCAAGAAAAGCTACCAAGATGGTAGACACAAGCAATTTAGTAACTTTTCAACCAAATCTTATATTTATTTTTCCACATACTTCCATTCTGCTTACTGCCATAGAGTCTAAGTGCTTTATACTCCCCATAGAATAAAGGACCAAACTGTTAGCCCCTTCCATTCTGTGAAGATCCCAAAAGCCAACCAAGAAAAAAAGTAGCAACATTTCAAACACTGAAAAGTCCTAGCCTGAGAAAGCTTCTCACTACACCCTTCATCAGCTAGGCAGGCCAGTTAACCCAAAAGTTGTTAGCTATGAGAAGTTAACAGCTCCAGGTATTCCCATATGTCCCAAGTCCCCACACCAGCAACAATATTCTGTGGGGGCAACTAGCCACCCCCACATTCTTTTTTTCACTCTATGCCAAGGACTAAGAGGTAGCATCAGAGGGAAAGAAGTCAATGAAAAAAACAAGCACAAACTTATTTACTCTGCACTGCATCAACTGAAAGGCAGTACAGACTCCCATCTTTCTACAATCCTACCACGGGGCTATTGCTTTGAACAAGCTGTGCCACTCCCGAGCACCCATGAGAAAGAAGTCTGCAGGAAATACTTAGCCAAACAGTCCTTCCCTCTTGCTAATTCTCAAGATCCTAGATGAGCAGGATTTTAGATCAAACTTGTGGTTTTTTTCAGGGGAATACCCAATGTTCCC